GGTAAACAATGGAGTGGTTAGTGTTGTAAATCAACATTATTAGCTCATCAGCCTCATTACACTTCCAAGTGATGTGTTAACCATGCTCCTGAGCTTGGAAGGAAGTGGTAAAGGCTCATCATTTGTGAACCTAAACTAAAGCAGGAAGCGTTAAGAAAATAAAAGCACACACAGGAACATGAGGGTCACATCAGGACAAAATTTAATGAGTAACAGGAAATGGTTATCACCCCTTGCTTGCATCCTAACACCCCCACTGCTTACACCTGATTAGTACTGTTTCCAGTGAAACCCAACACCTTATTTCTCCTGATTGGTGCTAATCAATGAATTCTGTAGTGGGAATTGGAAACCTTTTTTTTTTTAGTCTGGTGTCAATCAATCAGTCCGACGTCAAGCTGTGCGCCTGTGTTTATTTGACTGGGTGAGTCTGGGTCACACACCAGCTGGCGTCTGCTCCTGTTTTGTCAAGTAGCAGGCGACTTGTTGGAATTTGCACAGCTGCGATTCTTAATTCTACCACCATGATCATAACAAATTCACAACAAGTGATTTGGACTGTTTGCTTATTATTAGACTCATTACTGCAAGAATTTCCACCTTGTACATGAATTGTATGCTAAGTGTAAAACACAATGTGCTACTTTTGATCCTAAATTACTCTGTTGTTTACCAGTGGAATTAAACAAAACTTTCACATCATGTAAACAAGGCATGACATATTTTATGGAGTGAGTTGCATCAGCTTTGTGGAAGAGGGTGACATTTAAATGCCATACAAAGAAAATACTCACTTTGAATCAAACATTATTGTTTTCATGTGAAGTGGTTTAATAGGCCTACTTTTCAGAAAATGAGTGAAATCCTTCAATTGTTTGAGTTCCAAACAAGAACTAGACACGAGCATGCCTGATGCATGGTGTGTGAAAAGTATTTGTACTTTTAGTTCAGAATGTGAGTCGCATTTATAAATAAACTCGGTACGTTCATTTGCCGTGAACCAAAAAGTGCATTGCCAGTATCTGCCTTGTAATTTTTCATAATTACTCTTGGAGTCGAGGGTGAAGTTATTTTTGTACAACTACAAGGACGTTGAATCGCAAGTCTCATTGTTATGCAAATGACAGTGCGGGTCATTGAATCTGGGTCGCAAAGCACAGTAACATGCGTCGCATGTGTTCAATTGCCATTTAAAGTATTTTTTTAAAGTATCATTTATTCTGTTTCTATAATAAAAATTGAAAGGAATTCAAGCAGAACAACAGCCATCACCCGTTTCTCTGAATTGTGTGAACGGGAAATATGATACATTTACTCTCTAGTCATGCATGATACATGTACTCTCTAGTGGGCAAATGTCCCCTGCCCACCCCCGAAAAAATGATAAATTGAGAATGTTCCTGAGAAAGTACATGTACCAGGATTTCGAGAGCTTTGCCCCCCTCTAGACAGTCCTGGCGACACCATGCATAGCCTAAACTACTGTACAGGTCATGTGACATCACTTATAAAAATGTACACCATGTCTTAATCCTAGGGAGTAGAAATTATTATGCCAAAAAGAGCAATGTGCCAAAATACGATGATATATTCATCCAAGTTTGGATTCAGAAACAATGTGTAAGTGTGTATGATTGCTTAGTCATCGCTGTAAAAATTAACGAGCCAAATCAGATGGGAGGCCAGTTGCATTAGTTTATGAAAGTGATATCAAGGAACACCGCTTTTTTTTTCTTTCTGTAGTGTTGAAAACAATGGCGTAAATATAAAATACAGATATATAAAGGATAAAAATGTACATGTATGCCTAGTATACGGTACATGTACTGGTACTGCAGGAGTTTCAACTGGACAGTTTAACATTGTCCCCGTAAATTCCTTTTGCATGAAATTATCAAGTCTTTTGCATGAAATTATCAAGATGAATTGTACATGCAAGAAAAGGTAAGTTATCATTTCTGAGCTACCGGTACCGCTATGATTGTTGTGTGATTACTGGTACTATGTAATATGTTGTAGCAGTGTGGAAACAAACTTGATGTTCGGGGTTTATCAGAAATATGATCCCAAATGTGTTTGTTTTGGGGTTTTCTGGCAGGAGATTCTATACATGTCACTTGGTGGTCAGTCGGTCAATCTAGGTGTACCAAGAAAATTGACCAAAACGAAGCTCCCCCGTTCTACCAGTACCACATTTTAATTTTGAAAAAAAAAAAAAAGTAAACAAAATAAATTAAATAGGTCTACTTTATTCTTTAAAGAAATTGTTTGTAACAATTCAGAAAGATGTTTTTGAAATATTTGTAAATGGAGGCAAAATGTATATGGTAGGCCCTATTAATTACAAATTGCTATAAATCTGTCTGTTTTCTTTCTGACTGAAATGTTCTTTGATAGTTGATTGCAAAAAACCTTGTTTCCATACACCATGAGCTTTTAAGGTTTTATGAATTTTCATGTATCCCGGTACATGTGTACTGTACATTGTAACTTTATGTACATGTACCGTACACGTATACTACATGTACAATGTACATGTATGCATACTACATGTACATTGTATGTATACATAACTTTTACCCACTCAATTTGTGCCAAAAAGTTGCTTTCAGACAGGGACAATGATAGCACATTAGGGTGTGTTCCTCACAATGCAAACACCCAAACAATGTACCGATATGCTACGCATACTTCTTTGTGTTCACCCAATGCCAAAAAATGCAAACCCTGCACACATGTACTTTAGAGAATGATCCAGCTTAAAGCATGAGCTCCCACATGATTTCTCATTGCCAGATTACAGAGCGCCCTCATTGGTGTGGTATTAAGAGCCAGTAGCAGTCACTGACTGAGTTTCTTTGACACGTGTACACGTACAAAATTTTGTACATTGTAGCAGTACACATGATTAATTACATAGCTGAAGTCCTAACGGGGGCCATGGCCCCTCCCCCCCCCCCCCCCAAAAAGAACCCCTTGTTTGTTTTTTTTGAGTGATGTCGCGATAAAGGCATGCACTGCGTAGTACACCACCATCGTTTCCTCAAAAAAATATCAAAGTGGTCAGAAATTTCCTCAGATCGCACCACAGAGCATCGAAATCTCAAAATATTTTGGGGCCCTTAGTTAAGCAGGCCCCGTAATTTTTTGGACCCACTTTTTGGGGTCCCACCAAAAAAACTTTGCCCCCCCCCAAAAAGAAAATGTGTTCAGGATCCGCCCTTGTCGTAACCCTGCTCAATCCAACAGGATCCTACTGTTTTTCCGTTGGATCCTGTTGGATTGAGCAGTAAGCACCTTGTGTGTTCAAATCTGTTGAATTCAGCAGGCAACTGAAAACAGTCAGAGTCGAATTCCGTTAAATATGCCAAGTTGGACTCTGTTGGATCCAGCAGGAAACAGAAAAATAAGGCATACATGTAGTTGGATTCTGTTGGATTGAGCATGCCAGTCATTTTAATATTTTCAGGTACCCAACACCTTGGCAAGTTGGGTTGTGTGGGACTGTGTTGGATTGAGCAGGAAACTCATATGAGTAACCGTTGGACTCTGTTGGATTTAGCGAGGTATAGTCCCGGGGCACTAGGTTTGTTAATGAAGTTATAACCCTAATTTAGATCACTTAATAATGAAATGCTGTAATGACGAATCTTGGATAAAATAAAATCCATAATAAAAGCCTCTTTAATATTCAACCCATAGCTTGACACTGGTGTAACCCTGACACTCGGACAGTTGGCACGCAACTCAAAGCAGGAATTTCCTGTGTTAAGTTAGTTTAACGATCATGAAAAGAGTTCAGCCAATGTCTTTTTTTTATGAAATTAATATTTCTTATCTTAGCCTTCCCTTTCAGGAAGGAAGGAAATTTGGTTTAGGACTTTAGTTTCAAAGTAAATTCTATTGTGTCTTTTATTCAGTGGGCTTTGTAGCTTTGTTGTTGTAGTATTATAAAAAGCTTCAATTGACGATTGAAAATTGTTTTCATGAGGGTTCTGTCGATTGGTTAATCACGGCAACTTCTTCATGAGCGGCCAGAATTTGATGATCATCGCAGTGGAATCTGTGGATTAACCTACCCTACGGATACCTTGAGTTATGACTTTGAAGTTCTGTCTTCGCTTTTCATTGGACAGTCTGACTTGAGAGAATGAACACATCACATTTTTTCAAAAGTGTTTTTCTTGCGCTTTCTGTAGTTTTTTTTTCTTGCAACTATTTGAGTGAGTTTGCCAAGTTCTCTGGAATGACTTTCAGCCTAATTCCAGGTTTTTGTGCATGATAAATGCATGGTATATAATTTGGCCTATTTTGCGCAACAACATTTGAGTTTGTGTTGGCAGTGCATTGAGGAAATTGACTTCATACTCCATACATGTAGCCATCAAGGAGTGAATGGAAATGGCAGAGTATCAAATGTGTGGCTAACAAGCCAACTATCATCATCATCCAGTCCTTATCCTATCTGAGAAGTTGTTTTAGCATCTCGCATGTTTCCTTATGGCTTATCCGCTGTTATTTCAAGCTGCAGTTATCAGATGGAATGGTCAACTGCACATAGCTTTGTTAAGACTTCTAGGTCCACAAAAATGACTTGAATGCGGGTGCACTATCTACTTTGTGTATGGTCATGCTCAAGTCAAGGTTTTCTGCAACTTGCCTCAGGTAGTGAGATAATACACCCCTGTTTACATAAGGGGTCCCATAGAGAGGAGCTTTTTTCAGTCAAAGATGCACTTACCCTGGTATCCCATCCAAAATTAATTTGAAAGCCCTGCCCTTGCCCATGGTAAGAGATACTTTAGTTGTGAAATCTACCACTTAGGGTTTTTTAACTTGAGTTTTTTTTTAACTTGAGTTCCGGGGAGGTCCAGAGCAATTTGATATGGGCACTTGCTGCTAGCACTTACAGATAAACTAGAGGTTTCCTCCTGTTAAAACTGGACATCCTGTGTCATGTGTTAAGCCTTTGTGGTCTGTTCGAGTTTATTCAACGGGCCATTTGTGTGGATATGGTGAGGTGTTGAACTTGTGTACTCTGGTAGTTGAATCGTTCATCGTTTTTGATTCGGGATTGGAGATTGAAGAGCCTGCTTCTCGTGAAGAATCCAAAGGCAGCTTTGTATGTGCTCAAGCTTCTTCCAAGTTTCATCAGCAACTGCCTGAAACTCAGTGAAATCCACACCCTCTGGTCAAAAACCTGCAGGCATTCTGCTCATCTCACCGAAGCTCAGTGACAACAAAGCAATCCTGCTGATGTGTACAACTGTGAATGGACTCCAAGCTTTCTCTGTTTATCCTCTGGATTTAGAAGCAGGATTAGGTCCCTCTTGCATGAATATTTATTTTTATCAGATGTCCAGTGGTCAGTGGATGATATCTCCCCTGCCTGCTTGACTGACACTACTGGTATCTCTTCGCTCCAGTGAACATCGCACTACTGTTTACAGATAAACAGTTGGCCACAAAAAGTCAATACACAATGATGTGTGCAGTTCCTCCTCCTTTGATGAGCCATCCGTGGGATTGACAAGAATCAACTGAAGGAGGGTTGAACAAGCAGTGAACCAAAGAGGACCTGGATTCATTGAAGGCATTGCTTGCTCAAACACTCCTGGAATCGGATGATAGCCAGATTAAAACTCCCAAGACCCACACCTAGATGTGTTACACAGAGTGCTCTGCAATCAGTGCATAGTAGGATACTGCAAACTTATGACACCAACAGTTTGACATTGCAAGACGGTTATAAATAAATACAGAAATCTTCCTTCTGCATTTTTTTAAGCTTGAATACCTAATTTTTCTGTCCTGGCTGATTTCCAGCAACCCAAATCAACCCCACCAATTCTTGTCAAACTCACTCTCTGCCAAATGCTGAGATTCTCATGACTGTGGGCAAAAGACTGTCAACTCCAGTTTCTATCCAACTTCTGTCAGCAGTCGCCACCATGCCTGCTGTACGGTGTCGCTCTTCAGGGCGAAGGTAAGTTATTTTTCCTTCGTTTGATATTTTTCCATTTTTGTTTTTAGGCTTGACTAGTTCAGATCTCTCGGGACTTCAGTTTGATATGCAGTTATTTTACGCTGTAAAATACACAGAAAATTGGCAGGGAACAGAAGTAGCATCAGTGTAAGCATTTATCAAAAATGAAAATATCAAGAGGGAAAAGAAAGAATTTATGCGTTCTCATGATGCAGGTTTTCTAGAAATTAATTTAGCAACATATGTCTGTAACATGAAGACTTGGAGAAAAGAATGGTCTACATTTTTATACGGAGGATAGACTTGACCAATATTCCTTCCTCCATGCTTCACCCAGGTAACATTTCTGTGGTCTTATAATCTGCAGAAATCAGACTTTGCATTGCATGGCTCATGGACCATCTCCAAGGAGAAGTTAACTTACTATACGTGTACATGTACAGTGTATGTTTGTATTTAACCATAGCATGAGGGTGGGGGAGGGGAGGTTTTTTTTGGGGGGGGGGTTGTGGATGGGATGGCTGCTCAGTGTTCATGTGTTTACCAAAAAAAATTTCTCAAAACATGCTGTCTCTCAATGTCTGTGGAAAGTATACGATGTGATTAATTCTTAAACCTTCAAATTTCTCTGGGTTGGGACATTTCAAAGAATTTTGGCTATTTTACAAAATTTTTAAGTGCCCTCTCAAAAGCCAGAGGCCAACGAATGTGCCATTGGGAAGATTCCTGAGTACAACATCCCTGGGGAGTATTACAGGCTAATCTCCTAGAATTGATATTCCAATCATGGAGTTCTAATTCTACCTCCATGTTCCAATCAAGAAGGCTTGAAGTTTAAGTCAGCAACTCATCAGATGACTTACTTTTATGATCCTTCATCTCAATAATACTGGTACCTTGTTTGTGGCTGCACACTCTGAATTTGCATCTCCATTATGGGCTCCGTGCATAAATATCTTTTGCTACCTTTTTTGGTCTAGTTTAATTTTCTGCTAAACCATCTTTTGGGGAAGCATGGGGTGGAGGAAGGTTCTCTGTTTTTCTAGCAACTCAGTCAAGATATTATTTTTGATCAGGAACTTACTTGAAAAGTTCATGTGTTATTTAAAAATTTAAAGTTTATTAAACATATATTTTTTAAAAATAATTTTTAAAATAATTTAAGCACCCTTTCCCCTTACATAAATGCAACACTCTTGATAGCTGGTCATTAAACCGGTTGAACAAGAACAAAAAAATTGCTGAACTTTTATTTTTGTACAGTTCAACTTTCGTCCCACTTTTTAAAACTGCCTGTATCGGGTTGGACTTCACATAAATGAGGGCAAGGACATGTACGTGGAGGTATGGAGTAATGGACCCTTAACTTTGTTGATTTTCCTTTTTTTTGGTGCATTTTTTGTGGGGGGTGGGGTTTACAGTCACTGGGAAATTGATCCAAACTGTTTCCAGACACCCATGGGTACCGGCGTACATGTGCACATGGTCCCTTGGGACGGTCAGGATGAAATTATGTGGGACCTCATTAAGTACGGTTCAACTCCAGTGATAAGTAGAATCAAATTGACTTGTTTTATTCGTGTCTGTGTCTCAGCGTTTGCTGACGTATTAATTTTTTTTCTGTCTTTTTTTAGGTTTAATTTTGTTGGCCTTGGTTTTTGGCTGACATTTTTATGAGCAGTGTCTGCCTTTTGAGGTACCGCCAGAAGTTGAAGCTCAATCCAGGTTATCAAACTCTGAAAATGCCGGCAGAATTTTTGTCTTAGATTTTAAATTATAAAACACAAAGGTTTTGCTAAACTCCCTTTGCTTACTAGAAGTTTAATTCAAATATATGCCCTGGCCAGTCCTGGCATAGAGCTAATAATGAAAACTTTTTAGGGAAACAAAGTGCTTGGGTTTTCTTAGTCAAAATGGCAGTGGCACCGATCAGGTTCTTTGTATAGAGCCGATTGAAATATGCTTTGTCGTCAAAGCATCCTTTGTGGCATTATTATGAACACATTTCTGACTGTCCAGAGATTTCTGACTGTCCAGAGATTTACAGACTCACTTCTCATTTGAAACGAGCTCTATCGGAAATATCTCAGAAGCTGCGGGTCAACAAATTCGTGTTCATGCATGAGTCACTAATTGTGACATGTAATATCTGGAAGGAGTAGTGTTTTGAGTTTCAATCAAAATTTTGACCCCAGTGACCCCATGATGACCTTTGACCCCAGTTTGGTCTTGTGACATGTTGGGGCTGGGCTACTGACACTTTTGACAAAGTTTAGCTGAAGTCGGTCAAACTATGGAGGACCAATAGACAATGTCAATGTTTGTTACTAACTAACTAACTAATGGAGAGATGATGAATTGTTGAGCTGCTATCCCGCAGCTAAAAGTTGAGATAGGAAAGATTGAAGTTAAGGTACTTTCTTACAGCAGCAGCCTCAAAACTGGGGACGTGCAAGTTTTGGATATTAAGTTTGTTCACCCCAGGCCGAACTTGGACTGAAACATTCAAAACCGCATTCCATTATGATCCAGGGTCTTATAAGAGCTGACTGGCACTATACCGCTGCTACCGGTACCATGGCAACCAGCCAACAAAAGTCACGAGTTAGCTCGTGAACTTCTCACCAGCTTGTCAGAATGCATACAGTGCTTATATATGTAGCATTAAACTGTACAAAGCAATTTAATTTCATGCTTAGTAAATGTCTAATAAGCTTAGCGACTTTGTGAAATGGACCCCGGCATATTTTCACACGGTCGCAAGAGACATTTGCGTCCAGCCATCATCCCAAACTTTGAATGGCCCCAATATGGCTAATCCTCAAGAATGTAGGCATTTCCTTACGACCCACCCCATATCAGAAACACACTTGTCCAGTCATTTCATGATTTTAAACCCCACGTCAACATCGAGGTCATGTTTGTAAACATTTAATTTCCGTGAATTTACCCCACAAAACTAAAGTGCTCACACCTTTAACAAGGACCTTTGCGATGCACTTTTGAGTGATGATTCTTTAACAACTTGCCTTTCCCTGTCGAGGTTATTATCGGTTTTATAATCATGTATTTATAACGTACCTGTATGCAAAACAATACAAATTGAAATCATTGATCTGGTTGATTGCATTTTATGCACTTTCACATGTACAGGTACATTGGTACATTATGTATTATATTCTATGCAGAGTTTGAACTTTACTTGGGTGTAAAAATCACGTTCGCAAAAAAGGACAATAAACTTTGCTATCAATTGTAAAATGTAGGATTGTCATCTGTGTAACAGTGTTTGCCATGCAGTGGATATATAAATTTATAAACTTTCAGATTTTTATCAATTTTTGGGGGTTTGGGAAAGGGACATGAGATGATTAATGGGCGTCAACCGGTGGGGGGGGGGGGGGGGGGGGGGGGGTGACCATGTCCCCCCCCCCCACTTTTTAAAGTGGTGGATATCATATCGTTTGTCCCCCCCCCCCACTTTTTTCGTCACCGAATAAATATTGTAGCCTATTATATTTGATTTAAAAGCTCAGAATAGCTGATTCAAACTCGAAAATGATCCATAATGTCGATTGGTTCTCAAAATGGTGTTTAAATAATGATTTTTTGCTCATAAAAAATTGGTTAAAGTGCTCAGGAATTGCCTCAGATCGCATCACAGAGCATCTAGAATCCAACATTTTTTGGGCCCTTAAATTGGGCCCTGGACCCCACATCGTATTGCTTTTCACTTGTCACTCGCATTAGTTCCGATCAAGGTATTGCACCCCCCCCCCCCCACTTTTTAGGACCAATTTACGCCCTTGGATGCATTTGGGCAACACAAACAATCAGAGAATGGAATTTACACAAAAATGTTTGTCAAAAATGAACGATCATGGTCAATTTCAGCTGTCATAGCGGAGTGTCAAGAAAAGAATGCAAGATACAGTGCAAACTGCAAATTTGATTGAGCATACTCTTTTAGTTTGGACGGATATGGTAAACACTTGGTAGAAAGTCTGATGTCTGACCATAAATTCGTCCTCTGTGATGGTTGTGCGGCGGTGTATGTACATGCCAGATGGACAAATGGGATTTCATTAAGCATTTACCTAGCTTTTAACATTGAGAAGCTGGTTTGATGTATGGTGTATTAGAATGAATAAATTGTGTAAAATAGACGACATATGGTCAGCGACACGTTCCATTTGTTCGCTGTTACCTTGCTGCTACCATGCCGTCAACCTTAATTCCTTGATTGGACTAGACGTAAGTGGATCGGTGGAAAATTAATCAGTCGAATCGGTGGTGCCAAAGTGGTAGGCTGAGTGGTAAACAAAATTAAATTTAAAGAAAAAAAATGTAAAAATGTCCGTTGCTTTTATCACACGCAAAGCCAATAAAACCACATTTTCTGAACGCGCTGTTGACTAGTGAAAATCTGTCAGAGTATTTACATTTAACTTACCGTCAATACTTGAAAGAGGACATCAACTACATTATAAAAACACCTTTGTGAAAAAAAGAAAGGAATCCTTTATTCGTAACAAAATATCCCAAATTGCCAACATCCGTAGTTCCACCCATCGTAGCATTTTACAATGATGATGATATTTCAACATGCAGCCAAATGAACAAAGATCTGGTTATGAAATACATAATTTACTACATCAGTGTGTAGTTACTGTGTACACATAATAAATACCGCATGTGTACCAGTACATGTGTAAAGGATATTAAGAAGTCAAAGTGACATCAAAACCAATTATTTGGATGGTAATGCAATTTTCCATATCAATCATCCAAGTCCGAAACCCCATGCAATTAACTATGAAGTTCTTTGTTTATAAATTGTAGGTAGTATTTCGATACAATTGTATACAATTGTATACACATGTGTGGAAGGGGAGGGTGTACTTTTGAACAAGTTGGCAATTTCATTTTCAATATCTCTTTTCTTTCTTGTGTTCATTTGGGGGAGTGGTTAAGAAGGGAATAAAGCCACAAAAACACAAAGCAACAATTAACAGGTAGGGCCTATGCAAAAAAATTTCCAAATTCCTCAAAACTGGTTTTGACTTGCGTGCTGTTAGTAACGAACCCGTGGGCCTCGGGCACTACTTTTCATTGCGCAACAAATCAAACTTTTTTGTCTGCATGTTTATTGATACCTCTCTACAATAGAGATTTCTGTGTCTACATGTACATATGTGTATAGATGTCCCATTGTGTTTTCGCTCGATTTCCGTCCGGCCTAACCCACCGTGAATTTAGAGAAATTGGCATTCAATATTTTTGTGAATTACGCCGCCTCCATTGAAACAGATGTCTTCATCAGGAGAGCACCGAGCCAGGTTTTTGATTGCTGTCCCTGCTAAACAGTACTCTCAGGAAGTCAGAATTAGGATATTTTCCAGCGTACAGCGAGCACACATGTTTAATCTGTTTCCTGCATTTTGGATCCGAGCAGATTGGCGTTACAGATGACATGTACATGCAGCTTCCCTGCTGTTTTTTTTTATAGCGTGTGAAACACTACCCTCTGATGTGTTTGCTTGGTTCGAGTCAGTGATCATCTTGTCGGCGGCACGCATGATTGACTTCAATAATTTTCTCGTGGTTGACGAACAGGCCAGTTCATTGCCGGTACACGAACTAATTTTGCCTTGGACTTTCAGAGACCGTCCATTGTCTGGTCGGCACATCAGTGATTGGGCCAAACTGGCTGTGTGCCGGTCACTCTATCCTGTATCTGTCGGTCACTAGTGGTCACTAGTGGTCAGTCAACTAGCAGATCTGTCAGTTGGAGTCAGTTACTGTGCCCAGTTAAGTGGACTCTTTGTAAACATGTGTGAACAATGATGATGTGATGCTGGTATTGGAGGTATTGGAATTGTGGATGTCGTCAGCACTGAAAAATGAGGTAAAGGCATTTACTTTTGTTGTGTACACGTACATGTACATACAACAAACAGTTGGCGAGGCGGAGATCACGCTTTTGAACTTTTTTACTTTGTCCGGAAGGCCTTCAGATTGCTTGACTTAGTCTAAAGTAACTATACAATATACCGGTACAAGTTGTTTTTAATTGCTAGTCACTAGAGCCATTGGCGTCGATCGGTTCGCTGTCCACGCAAACATGGCGCGCTTTTGGGTGCAACTTTTGACTCGGGGCGCCGCACACAGTTGCAGCTGGTTCGTGTAAACTTGATCGGTGTGTTTCAAATGGTATTGGATAAAAGAGTATAGTATTGGATAGAAGAGTATCATACCATCTTTTACCATGGACATTTAATATTTAAGGATTCATCTACTGAAAACCACTTTTTTTTCTGTTGTGGGGGAGGGGGGGCACTTGGCAAGCCCCGCCCTTCCAGTGGATGGCTGGATAGTATCCTTCTCCCCTGTGGTGCTAGGAGGATGTGGTATCGTTCCATGTGGATACAGGACACTGATACTTTGCTTTTTGAAAGGAAATGACATTATTCATTTCTTTTTATTTCTTTGTAATCCTGCATGACTATGAAAGTACATGTAGGTGACGTGTATGTACAATGTACATACATGTAGCACTTTCGCTATAAAGGAAGTACATGTATCAGCATCAAGCTGGAATGAGATTTTGTTTACATGTTCATTTACACCGTAAACATTCTTTGTGCAAACTTGATCTTTATTTGCGCAGCATACTGTACAGTTTATATTTCACATACATGTACTTAAAAGTATATTTCATATATTTTCGCTTCATAAAATTTGCACTCTTGAAGGCAAATAATGCACTGGTGATTGAAAGGGTCATCCAAGCATATTTGTTTTTTGGGGTCATTTGGTTTTTATTGATACAGGTCGGTTGTTGTACTGTACAGGTATATGTAAGAATACGTTTTTTTTATTGTGGAAAAATACTTGTAACAACAGTTAAGTTTGAAAGTCTAAAGGAAGGGAAAGGTTAAGGTTTGGATTTGTTTTCCTTTGTTGTTGTTGTTTTTGATGTGTACCAAAAGCTGGGGCAGAAATATGCAATCATTGAAAAATTGGAAAGTGTTGTGAGGCTTGAAACTTCCCCGTTCCCTGTTGCATGCATGATAAATTTCAGATAAACTGAATTTTTCATCCCAAACCGTCCTGGTGCATTTAAGCCTACCTATTCATCGTTTCTTTTCAACTTGTTGCATTCCAATCCCAACGGTGCAGATCCGACTCTTTTTGATAACCAGTTAATTCTCTTCTTTTTTGTGTGTGTGGAAATATTCACAGGCCCAACTCAACAATCATCATTGAGATTTCGGGCACAACCACCACGATCAACAACAACGCCCCAGAGAAGTGCGCCGCCGTCACCAAAATGGGGGACAAGATCCCGGAGTTTCAAGAACCCATCACCTCCCTGACCTTTGAGTGTCACACTCACTGGCAGGACTCGTTTCACGTCCTCCGGGATTTGTACGAGCGTCGGGCGCTCTGCGACGTCACGCTGGCCGTGGGTTCGGCCCGGCTGCAGTGCCACCGCTTGGTCCTCGCCTGCTGCAGTCCTTACTTCCAAGCCATGCTGACCTCCGAGATGCGGGAGAGCAGGGAGGACGTCGTCCCGATCCACGACATCGACGAGGCGTCCATGGAAGCCCTCGTCAGCTTCATGTACACCTCCAAGGTGCTGCTGACGGTCGACAACGTCCAGAAACTCTTGCGTGCTTCCTCACTGCTTCAAATTGAGATGGTTGCCAAGGCCTGCTGCGATTTCATGACCTCTCACCTGCACCCGACCAACTGCCTTGGGGTGAGGAGCTTCGCTGAACTCCACGGGCAGAACGAGCTGCTCCGTGCCGCCGATTCATTCACCTGCGACCGTTTCCCGGAGGTCCTGGCTAGCGAGGAGTTCCCCACCATCACAGCGTCCCATTTCTATGACATCATCGCATCCTCGGACATTCGGATTCTGAGCGAGACGCAGGTTTACAACGCTGTCCTTAAGTGGGTGCGGTACGACCTCCCGAAAAGAGAAGCCGATCTGCCCAAGCTGATATCAGCGGTAAGTTAGAAAAAGTCTAATAGCCAAGGTTTAAACCACGGTTAACGCAAAGGAAGATTTTGTGAACGTAGACCTCTCTTTTTTGTAATCAGGGTTTCTTTTTTAACTTTTTGGAAAATTTGTAAAGAGATTCAGAATTTTTTTGGTTTAACTGTTTTAATGCTAGACAACCGTTTTTGGGGTCTTTTCTCAGGAATAGTGTGACGTTAGGTTGGTTTTCTTTTAACCAGTCCTACGGTAGTACAATCTTAAACATAAAAATGTTGGCGATTTCAGTACGACATGCCCCTTTAAAGCAAAAAAGTAAATGATGTCAGAAATAAGTGTAATCTTTTCCCTTTTTAAGACAAAGAAAGCATTGCTTGCTGAGCCATGAAAGACGTGATCAACAATGCGTAGATCCCTCACCATCGCCCGTCTCAAAACCCCTCAAGCGTCTCGAGTCTCATGTCAAGACTTTTCCTTGATTAAATTGACTAATTGGTAGGAGCAGACCGAGTCTAATTCGCCACATATTGTGTGCAGCGTCAGTCTTGCACACACCATCAGGAGTGCATGACGACTAGTATGCTCAGAATGCATTAGATATCTCGTCATGACCGTGAAATTTCATACATGTACACGATCATCAGGAGCCAATTTCCGTCTTGACAATTGTTTGCACATTTTGTGTGCTTAATGAGAATACAAGATGCCTTGCAGGCGAGAAATACATGCTTCAATGCTTCATATACTACTCATGCACTCAACCAAAAAGAAAGTCCCCCGTTAATACTTTTTTGTCTAACTCAAAAACTACTGGGCACATCTTGCTCAAATTACGACTGATCAGTACAGAAATTCCTTAGCAATCCAGCCATACTCTTTGTTTGGCCCAAAACAGTGATAATGTGTACAAAATTATGCAATTTATGACAAATTGTACCGGGAAAAAATGCACTTTTGTACACGTGCAAAGTGAGTGTGAACCACAACTAGCACGTATGAAAAGTGCAACTGTTTTCGGTATCATTTGTCATAAATTGTGTAAATTCGTTTTGGGCCAAATAAAGAGTATGGCTGGATTGCTAAGGATCGAATTTCTGTACTGATTAGTTGTTATTTGAGCGAGAGGTACTCAGTAGTTTTTGAGTTTATAGACAAAAAAAAGTATTGGAATGGGGGGGACTTTCTTTTTTGGTTGAGTGTGTACATTCGTCCATTTGCTTATCATAATATATAGGTTTAGAACAGACAAGGCATGCTCCCTAAAAGGGGGTGGGGCTTGCAGTGGCAAGATGGGGAGTAGCGACAAACCTCCCATATTTGTCATGTGCCATTTGTCAAGCCCCAGTTCCGTCTCCATCAATAACAGGCACAGTGCAGTTTGGGCATGAAGCTGGAGCTAAAGACTTAGTTTGAAAAATGGCCAGATGTAGCACTAGCAGGATGGGAACTAACCTAAGCCTTCACAAGGCTCCAAAATCCTCTTGCAAAATGCAGGATTTTGCAGGATTGAGGCTACATACGGCAAAATTGTGTGGCTGATTTTGGAGGATGCACTGTGTCAAGGTCTTGGGCCGGACCTTGTGTTGTTTCTGCTCAGCCGTGCATAAATTTAGTCATAGATTAAACTTGAAATCAGCCGCACTGCTCCAGGATGTCACTGGCTCTGCCTCAATATTGACAGTGATTGCTGGAGGATCATTGCAGGATTGAGGCAGTGGTCATCCCTCCAAGGACCACATTCAAGGAATGACGGAGGATTTTGGAGGATTGAGGCTTTTGACAGGAGGCAGTTGAAGGATTTTGCAGGATTGAGTTTGCATCGTAGCAAAAATGCAGAGGGAGTTAGGGTTAAAACAAAATAGCTTTTAACTGTTAAAAGTTTTGAAATTGGGGCATGGAACTAGACTTAACATATCGACATATTAACCATAGACGTACGTCCTTTGTCCGCCTGCTTTCAATTTACCAACTCTTAAAATGTATCCCGTGAACAGATGTATTGACTGAACATTGACGTGGCTTTCTCTGAAATTGAGTCTCTTGTTGCCAGGTCTGTTTTCATTTAACTGGCCTCCAAAGAAGATGAAACTATTATTGCATTACTACCGGTACATGTGGTTGGTAGGAAAACCACACAAAAGTGTCACGGCGTGATTCCTTTTATACCTGTTTCATTTATTGCATAATGTGCAGGTTCCATGTATTGATTTGTGAAGTCATATTGGTTATCGTTTAATCATGTTTCTTTTTCACAGAGCTTGGCCAAGTGAGATTAGCTGCTTGACATTTCCTTTTTCTCTGTGTGAGGAAAAGGATGTGGGTTTGGCAGAAATTCAGTTTGCTATTCAACATGTAGTTCACTTGGCCTAGTTTGGTGTGGGTTCAGTGTTTGCATGAAGTTCATGCCCTTTTGGATACACTTGCAGGTGCACCCTCATGGCATTAACGATTGAAAAACAACAATTCTTAACTTTTGAGAATGATAAACATTTAGCATGCACCTTATTCATTTGTCACTGTGTGTGTGTGTGAGGTACATATTTGAGGTTGGCCCTTAGCTACCGGCCGGTAGTATAAACCTTTGATGAGGGTTGAGGCAATTTCACTGTGAGGTTGTTTGAACATGTAATTCAAATGTATCTTTCATATTTTGTGTGCGGAAATCGCACACAGTTGCTACTTTGTAGAGGGGTTGAAATCAACATCTCCAGTGTTTAAAAGGATAGCAATGAGACACATGTTATACAGGTACTTTTTACTCATCAGGAGGTATCCATTATGATTATTGTAATGTATTCATGCCTCATGTTAATGAGTCTAGAGTTGGACATGCGCAGTTCATACCTTGTAATAAAACACCCCTTGATACTGGCAACTATAGCGTGTGACTGCTATGAGTTATTTGTTGGCCGAAACATTACAATTATCATGTGGTTATTCTTTGTATTGTTTGAGGTATGGTGTGACCATGGAGCACGTACACATGCACTGATTTCCAAGAATCATAGTGTGAGGAACAGCTGCCAAAAACTATCCAAATACCGGTATTTACTATGTGTACAATATTTGAAAAAAAAAATGATGTATGTGGTGACCCATCTAAATCAGAAGTCACATTTGACATCATGATCTTTACATTCTGACGGCATACTATGGGATTTAGTCAAAAGTCACAGGATTAACACTAAGCCCAAGAGATTATTATTCTCCAGTTTGGTTCCAAGTTGGCTTGTCAAGAGTTGTGGGAGATGCATTGTGGCAGTTCCAAAACATACATACTGTTGCAGGGCTGTTTGAACTTTATCCTAGCAAAAACACTAGTCCCCCCCCCCAAAAAAGGATAAGGCTACATAACTTCTCAATTAATTGTACGTAGATACATGTAGCATTTAATGTAGCTATATGTTGAGCTCTACATTCACAGCACTCAGTAAAGCCTACAGACAGTTCAGGCGTGACAAATTGACCAAGTTTGAACGACTTTTGGTGCAATTATTCAGTTCCTACCGGTATATGCCTATCAGATATTTGACTCATTATGAAACAGATTAAAGGGTGAAATTCAGTTCAGACAGTCTGGAAAGGAGGGGGGGGGGGTGTAAACTAGGGCAGAGTCACGAACAGGTGTATTATGCACTGCTGTGAAAGGTTTTTGTGAACAATAATGAGCATTGAAAATCAACCCCTGAAAGTATCTTGTTTTGAATTGGAAACCATTTTTAAAGGGGCAATACCTGTATGCATTTGCAAATAACTGGAGTAAATTTAACCAATCAGGTTTTACTGCTTTGTGAGGCCATGATGAGGCCAACTTTGACATGAATGTGTCTTTAACCCTCGCTCCCTAGGCAGTTTTGTTAGGATGCAACCTCAATCCTGCAGAATCCTCCAACTACCTCTATATGTAACAATTGCAGCCTCAATCCTGCACAAGCCTTCATTATGTGGTGAATGTGGTCCTTGGATGGGTGACCATTGCCTCAATCCTGCAAAATTCTCCAGCAATCACTGTCAGTTTGTTGAGGCAGAGCGGCCAGTGACATCCTGGAGCAGTGCGGAGGATTTCAAGTATAATCTAGGCCTAAATTTATGCACGGCTGAGCATTAACAACACAGGGTCCGGCCCAAGACCTTGACACAGTGCATCCTCCAAAATCAGCCACACATTTTCACCATATTAGCCTCAATCCTGCAAAATCCTCCATTTTGGTAAGAAAATTTGGGAGAATTTGGGAAGGTTAGGGTTAAACTTGTGGATGAACTGATTCTCTTTGTTAACCAACAGTATCATCTAGTCTTACAAGTCGTCTTTTTTTCTTCTTCCTTCATTCACCAGGTCCGTCTTCCCTTGGTTCCCCTGGGCTTCCTGATGGAGGTTGTAGAGTCCGAGGAGCTTATTAAGAAGTGCCACAGATGCAGGGACCTGCTGGATGAGGCCAAGAACTACCACCTGTCTGTCAACAAAGTGGCGCCTCTCAGCCCAAAGAGTGTCTCACAGTCCCAGCGCTTTCAGCCCAGGAAGAGCACGGCAGGTAAAGAGAGGGAGTGTAGACAGCGGTGTAGTTTTTTTAGGGAGTGCATTAATTTCTGTGGAATTTGGGTAGAAGTGTTCCCCACTTCCACAGGTTGCCTCCTTATCCCTTCGACCCCCCCCCCCTTCCCATATCTCATCACTGCCCCCCCCCCTATCTCATCAAACCCCCCCCCCCCCCACCCCCACCCCACAGACACATCTTTGTAAACACCGGCAATCGTGGACCCCCTATTGTCCCTAATCCTCATTCCTTTGTTTTTACTCTAACTTTTTAGCAACAGCTCTCATTGGTTTGTACGCGAATTTCAATCGTGGACGTTCGGTCAATCGTGGATGTGTTGTTTTATTACGGCACCCTGCCAGAGCGCAGAGGTGTTTCAATAGTTTTGAGCATGCTCAAAAACTTTGGAGCTCATCGGAGACCATAAAGACCCTCCGGCGCCCATCAGGCGACCTATGTAGTTGTCGCTGCGATCTAGTAGTTGCTGTTGCGCCCCAGCCATTTTTCAAGGACGCAGTGAGAACGCATATATGATCGCAGACAGTGTGACAGGGCCTTTAGTATAAAGGTACAAAGAATGCGCCATCAGAAAATCAAATCCTGACCAGGAGTTGACTTTTGAGGATGACTGGTCATTGCAAAAATATGCCCAGGAGTTAGGGAGCTAAATTTGACCCTCGTGGGCACAGCTTGCACCCACGTGCACGTACACGTGGACCCCAGTGGTTGCCGCAACATTTGCACATGTTTTGAGTCACAAAGGCCCTCAAAAAGTCAAAACTAAAGTGACCATGGGCAAAACACCTCGATCTAAAAGGGCAACGAGGTCAGAAAAAAAAGGACCATAGAAACTGGCTTTTCAGAGTGTGTGATACTGCTGGTAGTTTGGGTACTGCATCTCAAGGACTGCATAATATAAAGACAAGTTTGATAAAAGCTTTATGGCTTGTACGTGTGTGAAATAAGTGAGTGTGTAAAGTTGTCCACTAAGTTGTCTAACGAAGGACACTACCGCAATTTTGGGTTGCAAGGAAGATGATTCGATCATTAGATGCCTTTTTACCTTTTTAGTGCGCCAAATAGGTTGATCACTTAGCTTTCTTTTGTGTTCTCCTTGCACCTCTACTCCATAATGTTTGCTCCCATGGATTTATAGGGATTTAACAACATTTGCTTTTGCTGTAATTGTCACTGGAAATGGATAGATTTTGGGGGTTAGTATTTTATTGTAAATATTGTTACAATGACTTGTTTGAAGAAACCAAGAAAAACGATCATGTTCCTGTAGTCTGATTCCCTGACCCAAGTTAAGATGAAACGGAGCAATTTATAGACGCCGGGAATTGTAAGGTCAGGGAACCAGTCTAGCTGGCTTGTACCCACTCATAGGTGTGTAATCGATGCAAACAAAATGCGGACTAACTAAATATGGTAAATTGGGGGCAGTGTTTGCAGTTTTTTTCCCAATGCTGGTCAGCCGACCAGCATTGGAAATTGATGCAAAAATAACATTTTTCTTGAAAATGACAGCACACCAGGTGCCATGATTTCACAAGATGCTTTAGACTGTCATTCACTTACAGTCCAGTGAGGTGTTTCATAATGATTCGGTAGTTTTGTTTCTGTTGTTTGAAAATGTTGTATATGCCTACAAGTATTCCCTTTAATGGGTACAGGCAAAAATACAGTGACATTTCTGAAGCAAGTGCTGTGAAGGTATTGAAAGCTTCCTCTTGCAGGTTGAATTATTTTGTTGTGTTACAAATTATTATTGGGTTATTTGCAGATTGAGGAGAGCTCATTATCTACTGTATTTCGTGTATATGTGTAATTTAACCCCCCCCCCCAAAAAAAATGGCCTTTTTTCCTCTGAGGTCAGCCCTTCATGCAAGTTTAAAAGCGAGATTTTAACCGACCAGATACTGATTGAATATAAGGGCTCCATCATCAAATAAGGGCACTTTCAACAAAATCCAACAGCGTTTTTGTCCATTTGTCAACTGATATTGTTGCAGTTTGCTTGGTCATAGCATTACAGCCCCTATTTTTCCCCCAAACCAGATTGCAATCGCAAAAGAGTGACCTCTTTTAAAAACTTAGGACTCTTATCAATTTTTTTTTATATAACAATAAATGGGGACAAAAAGAGGCCCATTCTGTGCCAGGGGCTCAGGATAATGGAGTCAGTGATGTAGGGTGAGGGCAAACGAGGGGCAGGAAAAGTTCAAGGGAACTAACGTAATTGAATCTTTTGTGTTTCCTTGAGGCTGCTTCTCCTAAAAATTTGCAGTTTAATCCTTGCTGGTTATTGTGTGCACACTGAAACTTGTCAGCACTATTACTGTCTGTCTGGAGTTAAAATTTTAGGAGATTGTGCATTTAGTATTGGCCCAATCCATCACTTTAATCCATGCATCCAAGTTTTTTTTTTTTAACCCTAGCAAATGTTATGAAACCACTATTCTATTTTTATAGTTTAAAGGTAATATGCATCATCTGCAAACATCAAAAAAAAAAAAAAAAACTACCAAATTATTATGAAATACCTTAGTTGACTGTGAGTGAATAATAGTCTCAAGCATCCTGTGAAATCATGGCACCTGGTGTGCCGTCATTTTCAAGAAAACTTGAATTTTTGTATCAATTTCCAACGATGGTCGGCTGACCATCGTTGGAAAAAAAGTGATTTTTTTTTTCTTCAAATACTGCCCCCAATTTACCAAATTTAGTTATTTCACATTTTGTTTGCAATTGGTCACACATCCGTGAATGGGTGCATGCCGGTTAGTCTGGTTTCCTGACCTGACATTAGTGACAATTTCTTGACATAAATTCCTCCTTTTCGTCTGAAGTAGGGTCAGGGAACCAGACTACAAGAACAACATTTTTATCTTGGTTTTTCCAGCATCTATGAACATAAAACTTCAAAAACAGGTCAGTGTAACAATAGAGCCTGTTTGCTAGAAAATACTAACCCCGAAAAGGCGAAATCCATTCATTTTTCGGGAAAAAAGCAAAAGCAAATGTTGTTTATTACCTTAAATGACAAGTGTAAATCTTACACCTGCTTTTACTGTGCGAATATTGCTTCAGATGAGATTCAACCAGTATTCTTGTTCACAAAGTCTGCAAGTTTCAAATAGTGGATCGAAGGTTTACATGTAACTTGTGTTTAAACTGGTAGGACAGCAGTGCACATCACACATTGCCTAGCCCTAATAACCAACATCTGTGGTGTCCCTACTTGACTCTGACTACATGTAAGGTCATTGAACTGGCACCTCCCAGGGTGACCACTCAACACCTACAGATTGTTTCCCTCCTAAAACCTAACAGCTTGCAGGGCCACTTGAGAGGTTAATGCAAACTGACTGGGGGTACATGTACACTGGCCTGTCCATAGGTAAAGGCAATGGGTTCTCTTCTTTGACTTTCTAATAAGATTGGCAAGATATCACATGTACGGTAATTCCAGTCCAACCACACACACGTGTCTGCTTTAAAAAAACAAAAAACATAATATGTTCAACTTTACACAGTAGTACAGGTATCCGATAAAAGCTATTCTTCACTTTGTGAAAGTTAGCATTTTCTGGGCACTCAAAAAGAAAATAGAATCAATTTTACTGCACAAATTGATTTTTAAAAATGTGATCAACGTTCGGTACAGACATGTCATAGCGAATCAACCTCCAACGTTTTGTCAAAAAGAAGAAGATGATAATCCATGTTTCATTTTGAACTTTGAACACTGTAGAATCGCACATGATCTGTGACAATACTGATGATACAATGTACATAGTTAAATGTATTCATGCAGTTCCCAGTACGATATCGGGGAAGCCTGTTTGAATTTTCCTGGAAACTTGTTACTCCACGTACCATGATGGGACGCGACAAGCTGACCTGTTGACCGAATCACACAGGGAGGCGGTCCTGAAGGATCTGTGGTCTCATCCCCTGCAAGTAGACTAAAATTAACCCAGCCCCCTAGGCGGCGGATTATAAACAGATACATGTACAACCTACAGTGGCTGAGGTTTATTTTAAGTTGGAGTGCCGCAGGAGGTCTGTCGTGTTGAGAGAAGGCTAGCGGGCGGGGGAACAAGTTGGGATTCTCTGAAAGAGGCGGGTATTGACGTTGGCTCTGTGTGAAATGATACAGATTCTGGAATATGGAGGAACATGTTGAAATTTTGATAAGTTTGATGCAAGAATACGATTTCGTGAAAGTTGGAAAATGGATGGAAAGATGTTTTGAGAGGATAGGTTTGGATGTTGTAGTAGACTGGAGTCAAGTCTGAATCTGTTATTGGACCATGTCCATCAGGCCACTGGAAATCGAATCAGACTTGAATTGAATTTGTTCGGACCCTTTTCTCCGTATGTCCTCTGGAATCATGGGCGTCAATTGGTGCCCCCCCCCCCCCCCACTTTTTAAAGTGGGGGGATATCATATTGTTTGTCCCCCCCCCCCCCATTGTAGCCTGTATTTTATTCTGTAGTTCAGAATAGCTGATTCAATGACTCCAAACTTGAAAAATGATGTTTAAATGATGATCTTTTGCTAACAAAAATTGGTAAAAGTGGTCAGAAATTGCCTCAGATCGCACCACAGAGCATCTCACTCTGATCAAAGTATGGTCCCCCCCCCCACTTTTCAGAAGCGATTGACGCCCTTGTCTGGAATGCACCTGTAAAGCACCTGTAAATTCCAGCCCCTTAACTTCCTCAAAATAAGTCCAGAAGGACAAGCATACCACCTTTCAGCACTTACTGCAACCGCAAGGCTGTCTACGGCTTTCCGAGCTAGAAGGTCTTTTAATGTAAACTGAAATTACTGGTTATTGTTTTTACCTACTGATGTTATGTGTTGGTTGACCCCCTATGATCAAAGGCCATCACCAGAATGCCACCCTCCCCTTTTTCCAACTTTCCTTCCTTTGTTTTGGATCCCTGCCATTGATGACAACTTGCAATGCAGAATTCATGTTGAC